TACTTATATTACCCATGGAAATATACTAATCTCACAGAGGCAACTAAGTCAGAACTATGCGGGACACCTTGGCAGTATGTCCAAACTATGACGTAGTCCAAACTGTGATGCTGAACCAGTTAAATGCACGATGGATAGTCAAATATTTATTTGACAAATTGGTCAGTCAACAATTATTTAATAATAGGTATTGAAAATACAATATTTCAATAAAGTTCACAATACTACTGCATCAGAGTGATATCCATTCACACATACTAAATTACCAGCATGTTTTCTGTCACAAGGTAAATTATACGGCATTATAGTGAGGCAGTGTGATTAAAATAAGATCCCAGTTTGGGCATTTTTAAAACAATTATGTTTATTTTTATTATACATTTACTTTTACCTTATTCTAATTCATCATTTGTTTAATGGCAATTTATTTTAAAAGTTTTTGGTAATCGTGAAAAACCTACAAGGATCCACTGGGAGTTGGACAAACTTATGTATTTTAACAAATTATTAAATAATAAAATGTTATATAACTGTTTTTTACTCCCCCTACATGGTATCGATTTCAAGTAATCACTGATCTTTGTGAACATGCCACTCCTTACGTTATCACAATCTTCGTTACCCGCTAATGCTATATGCAAATTTGAATGCGCGATGTAGACACATTCACATTATGGTAAAATATCCCAAGGGTTGAAACTCACCAGGACTGTGGCCTAAAATCACGCATGGTATGGGTTTCATTTTGAAGATAATCATCGCATCTTAATTATAAAGGTTGGCCAGGGAAGATGCCCGGAAAGTTAAATATTGGGGTCAATTTTGCAATTGTCTTTGAATGCTAAAAAGTCATGTTCTGCCTTTTATAGACTGGCACAGACTGGGCAATTTTTTCCTTTTTAAATTTAAAATTAAATAAAAAAATAGCGAAATTGAGGTGTTAACGCGAAATCCCCTGTAACTGCGAAATAACCCAGACTGGACGTTTTTGCCGCGCCATCTGTGGTGAAAGCAGGAACTAGTGTATTTTCATACTAGTGTTTATGTTAATGGCAGAATTACAGGCAAGAACGTTATCCAATCAGAGTAATTTGACCATTAAACTATATCTAGTTATCCTTTGTACCTGAAGACTTTTCATCAAGTTTCTCGATTGTCAATCATAACAAACGAATTACTATTTATAACGTCTGTACACATTATTCTAAATAAATGGAGAGAAGTAGCTTACGTGTAGCTTTATCTCACCTGGGTTACAGTGAAGCGCGATCTGCACAGAAGACAATAATTGATGGTTTTACTGACGGGAAGATTGTGAAAAAAACATGAGTGAGAGGGGATGCTGGAACCATTACTATGCCTTATGATGATAGTTATCACAGCTGTATTGTATTAAGATTGGCTATAGCCTTGTCACTAAAGTAATAACAATGCAATACTTAGTTATGTCTGCCAGCTGTTATATTTCGTAGTGTGAAATAGGTAAATAGAACAATGATACGAACAAATTGTGCTTCTGGTAGGGTAAATCAAAATATATAGAAATTGGGAAGGGAAGTCATGATGGACAGTACCTTCTGCAAGTGAGAGTCGCTGAAGTAGGCGGTAAGCATGAGGGAACAGTAAAACTAGCTAGAGAAAACGATATGAGAGGGGTAAACAAGAGAAACAAGAGGGAATGTTGTGATAAGAAAGAGATGAAATACAGCTAACCAAAGGAAAGGCCAGGATATGAATGAATAAAAGCTTGCGTCCAAGGGGTGCTAAGTGAGAGAGAGAGAGAGAGGCTCGTGGTAAGCATAAGGGAAAGCCGTGAGGGGTGGCAATTGAAAGACGGAAGCCTGGAAATGATTGTAACCACGGAAGGGGCCACATACGTGAATGGAATCTAGAGGCGTGACAAGGAGTTCATGATAAACAGGAGCAATTCTGCGAAGCCGGCAAGGATTTGTGAGGAAGAAGGGTGGATGGGAAGTGGCAGAAAACATATAGGAAGATTAGAAGAAGACAAAACCGAGAGAGAAGGTCAGTAGAGGCGGAGGTGAGAGGGGGCACCAACTGATGCATTTACTAATCACCACCCATAGCAACACATGCGGTGTGTGTGATATGTTTGAATGATATGGTACAATACATGCGAGGGTTAGCACAGGATGTTTAAATCCCTGTTTGTTATTGTGTATATTATAATAACGTGTAGTGTGACATTTTTCTGATTTATATTTTGTAAACTCTGTTTATTATGTATTATGTTGATATTGAAGTTATTGCAGCTCACCTTGTTGACGCATTCTATTTATACAAGTTAAATAACCTAATTTTAACGTAGTAATGGTTTCACCTCATACTATTTTCATATTTTTCAAAAGTAAACAAATATTAAAAAGGCAATTATACACGCCCACGAAATACCGTTTGTAGTAACTGACAGCTGTTATGAATACAACAATTGTCAGGGTGAATTCTGAATATATATATTGAGCAAAAGAGGAAGTCTGGAGGCTATATAGAAAGGGGCCAGGCAGGCTTATTGGCGAAAAAAGGTAAGCCATGCTAGATGGGGACATGGGAAGTTAACCGAGATTGGTGTAGGCGGAATGTTCGATGGTACAATTAACCCCCGAAAAATGACAATGACTGCAACAATTGAAGGAGAAACTGAACTGGAACCTGTAAGATGCAAGCAGATATTTGTTCGCCATCTTCCAGTGGATAATATGAAAAAACTGACAAGATTAACTGGAAAAAACAATACATTCTGCTAATCTAGAACATTTGTAATTTTTTTAAATGGTTGAAAAATCTTCGAAAATATTATATTTACATTTACAACAAGTCGTCTTCAAATTAAAAAGTAAAATAAAATTGCCATGTTAAGACAGTCTCAATTAGAGCCAATACATTTATTCTATTTTCTGTAATTTGACCTTTATTCAGACAGATAGATAGAACAGAAAATTTATCATTGTGCATAATATAGTGATGGTCATATCAAACATTAGGACTAGATACAGGAATTTTATAACAATGAGGATTTGGTCATCAAGCTAACTATAGAATGCATTGCGTCATTTAGTAGGCAAATAACTGTCAAGCTAAGCACGAATTGGTATTCAAATGTGACGCACATGTGAATATCTCTTTATTGGCTGCTGAATAAACTAACGTCATGGGTTTGGTATAATTCTATTAGCATATACCTTGTTTCATCACAGATCACTACTTCACTTCGCTTCGCTGTTATCTGCAGAAGATATCAAGCTCCGAATGCAATCATTGACATTTAGGTGTTTATTACAACAAGGTAATTGTAAATTACATGTTTGTCTATATGTGTGAAATATGTGTGGATTATATTAGTTCGAAAGATTATCGTTACCTTACACATGCTGTGTAAAATATGTGAAAAAGGATTGTGTTTGTTTGAATCAAGTAGATGTTGTGTTATATATGCTGTGCCAAAAAATAATCGTAATATAATGCTTATTTTAATAACATACTTCTGGGGTATAACATAAAATACTATTCTGTTAACGCGATGGCTTCTGTGCCTCCTTTCGGTAAGTTGGTGACATGACTGCTTAATTACAGACTGTATCACTTTAGTTATTGACCCCTGTGATACAGCATGTGCAAGGATATAGTTACTTGTGATTTTCTGTTCAGTTACGTTAAAATGAATAGATAAATGATTACGAATATTACTCTGAATCAATATACTCGTGGTACTCAAACTCTATTTAATAACATGTATTATTTTATTAATACATAATCTCTAACTTGTGTACACTTTATTCATTTCAAAAATTATTTCCTAAGGTATCAGTAATTAATGTTGGCACACAAACCATCGGTAAATTTTAAGATGAATTCATAAGTGCGAACAGGAACCGGGAATAACAATATAAGAAAAAAACCTTCTGATCCAATGTTTACTTATTTATTACTAAAGTTTGCTTTTATCTAAAGAGTATAGTTGTGTCGTTGTATTACTTTATACACGGATCGTATTAAGCCAGGTAAGATCATGCTCATCTACAGAGCGTTACACTACCATAGTTATTTTGAAGTCAAATTATTTTTGCCGTGGCAGGATTATGGATGCACAAACCCTAAGCATATTTATACGCTGTTGGTCATGGATTGTTGTCATTATTCCCACAAACCAATAAAAGAAAAATCAACGTTCTAGGTATATATATGCTGAGTGTTTGCATAGATGTGGTAGGGGTACAGTTTCAACAGCAGTAACAATCTCCAAATTGATTCGAAATTCATTCCTTCAAATTTGAGATGAGAAATATCAGGTGACGAAATCTTGCTATACTTGTTTGGTTACATTTTAGTACATAACACAACAATATGATTAATTGTTTCAAAAGTAATAGTATCCTCGGGGGCGGACATCCGGGCATGTTTACCGCCTGGCAATCCGCGGCGGTGAAATTAAGGCCCAAAACTCGCAGAAAACGGTACTTTGGGATGATTGTTGAGACTCCTCTGAATAGTGTAACAAGATTAGCCCTACGTGTGTAACATATATAAATTTGGTTGTTCGGGATTACTTCAAAGTTGAGTTTGTGTTGTTTTCTCGAATTTTCACCGGCTCAACCGTCATTCCACAGCAGCGCGCACAGAGCCCATAGAAATGCGTGGTACAGTGGTGCGCGTCGTAGCAACGTGGAACGTCTGTGACGTAGCTCCGCCCCCGAGGATAGTATATTGTTAAAATGTACTCAATTGATATTAATATAGTATCGTGTTATATTATCATGTTATTTGAATAACAAATGTTGTACTTTGTTGTAGGTTGATTGGCAATGGCAAGGCATTTACCGAAGATATATCTCCGTCCAATCGGTATTTGTTCGATTATAATTATAACATGTGCTATAGTATGCGTCAAAATTTCGTTTCATCATGCCCGGCTCAGTCACAGAAGCGTGAATGAAGATGCAGTTACTGGTCACAGCCCAACGCGTTTTAACATCAGAAGCAACATGCTGCTTACCCAGAACGAGGAATGTTCATGTCCAAAACCAGTGATCGGTCCTCTGGAGTTGGACAAACGCCTGCAACAAAGAAAGGAGTTCATCGAATGGAAACGACAGGAAGATAAAACAGCAGAGCCTGTAACAAGATGTGAAGCCATGTCTCCTATAGAATACATTGGATCTGGTATCACTGTTGAACCTTTAAGCTCAGTCCGCCTAGTTGGCATAAAGGTACACCCTACTGCGTTCAGAAAAGACAACCCGGAGTTTAAAATATCCTTCATGTCCAGAAGGTCATTGGGATATATCTATGTTGAGACAGGTAAATACGCATTACATATAACAGGCAACAACACTCGTCAAATAACAATAACAGCTGACGATGTTGACGATCTGAATACTGTACTGAAACATTTAGTTTACACCAGTGTCGAGTACCACATAAGGCAGAGAGATGTTATTGATATCATGTCAGGAGATCTTCACATCTCCATCAATGTTCTCACTCAGAGACTTCGTATGCCTAAGCTTTATGACCCGAGACTTGACGGTGACATCAGTAATAAAGTAACTGTCGTATCGAAAACATTTGAACGTTATGACTGCATCAACAAGCTCATTTTGAGTGTTAATAAATATTATCCCAATATGTCCATACTAGTAGCTGATGATTCCCGTGTTAAACAACAGTTGAATGGAACTAATGTGAAGCATTTTCATATGCCATTTTTAGAAGGCTTGGGTGCTGGTAAAAATCTGCTTGTAAGCCAGGTGCGTACAAAGTACTTTCTGTGGACTGATGACGACTTTGTATTCATTAATGAAACTATTTTAGAGCGGTTTGTAGAAAAACTGGAGTCTCCAACAGCAGAACTAGACTTAGTGGCTGGCTACGTAATGGATAACAGAGGAATGGTTTCTGACACCATCGATAATGACATCTGGAAATGGGTTAGTTATAGGCGAGAGGAAGATGGCAGCGGCTGCATTCGGAGAACAGATTCACCATTTCCATATGGCAATGTCAAAGAATTCAAGAATTGTAATTACAAGGATGTTACGCCAGACTTCTTTTTAGCAAAAACTGAGGCGGTAAGGAAAGTGGGATTCGATCCAGAGTTTGAAAGGATTTCTCATCGTGAATTCTTCATAGATGGAATAGGATACCTAAAGATTGCGCAGTGTGATGACGTCGTTATTCTACACGATCGAGAAAGGAACAAGGTTTACAACAAATACAGGCATTCAAATTTTCCTGAACCAGTTGCCATTGAACATTCTAATCATGTTTTATTTAAAAACAATCTGCAGTGCTACCAATCATGGAATCAATTTTATTTTGGGAAACAAAAGCGCAGTTAGACAAACAATTGCACTGATGTGAAGATTTGTTGCCATTAAAATAGTCGTTTATTCGCTCCTGTCATTGCGTCGTCTGTTTTATTTGCTTTATGCATGCATCCTTTATTTTATGTTTTTCTTTTCATATTACCTCAAACTCTAGAAGTGTGTATGGAAGAAGCGATGTGCATTGTTGTGTGATAACTGTCATGAAGGTAATAGGGGATTTTCCGTACAATTGCGAGATCCCGCGAGATGTATGAAAAACGCGCGTCGAACGTCTGCCGCAAAAATCGAACGATTTGATTTTGAACTAGAATTTCTTTATTTCGTAACTCACATCGACCCGCCGATCTTCGACAGAGGAATATTGCTTCCGAATACCCTTACTTAATCAAAATTGCCTATCATCAAATGTGGACAGCACATTATTAAACATGGAAGGGTCCCCCAAAATACTTCGCGTTTGTCGAATCTCACGCGATGTTTGACGCCACTACGACGCTATGACCTTTGTTTGTCCTGTTTTTTACGTTCGATTTCACGCATAACGCGTGATTCTCGCAGTGAACGGAAAATGGTCTATTGGCAGTTCATACATGCTTACTACTCGGGAATGACAATTTGAATCTTTCAGGTGTGATTGTGATTTACATAACAAAGGATATTTACAAATTTGGAAGGACAATTGGAATCAACCAGGTGTGATTGTGATTTACATAGCTAAAAATGCTTTCGATCTACAGACCTGCCTACGTGAGACAGAAAGATAACATTCTATTTGCCTCATCCAGGTGGTGTACCTGAATCCATACCTTAACATAGGGTAGATTGAGGACAGTTGTGGTCCTTCATTTCTAGTGCCCTATGTGTTCCTGCTGTGATATTGTGAGACAAGTGATACAGGCTTGAATCAAGATTCTATGAGACTTGTATAAACTGCTCTGCAATCTCCTGCTTTCAGTGGTGCCCTTCAAATGACCATCTATTAGTGCAATTTTAGACAACAAAGGCATCATTTCTAGTGGTTGCATGAAGGCAATGTTATTAATCCAAAATTATTGACGTCGTATTCATTAGTTCCTTTCCCTACTCCAAAATGTACTATTTCTTATTCTTAAGTTGTTTCAACTCTGGTACCCGCAATGCCGACACACTGCATATTATCGCATAGATTAAAGCTCCAAAAAACAGTTTTACCACTGTGGCACCAAGTGAGATTATGTAAACATACCAGGGTTAAAACACTGTGTAGGCATTTTACAAGTGATTTATTTTAACACTCTAATTCAAACCATGGTACATTTTAGTAGCAATGATTATCTCAGTGCCAATACTGTTATTAAAAACACAGTCACACAACCTAGAAATACATGTCAGTTTAAGTTGTTTTTAAAGAATGAATATTTCGCAAGCATTATAAGGTTCCGATAACTGCAATTTTAATACTATTGGATGTATTTGAGTGGCCCATACAGTTCATGTGTCTGATGATACTCTAACTAATATTCAATATCCCCTAAATCTAACGGCGGAATTCATGATGGACGAGATGAGATGGGTTGTATGTATGCCTAGTCTGTGTTATTGGGTACAAAAACTAATTCTAAGTTCCTATGACTTAAGTTATACGAAATTAAAATACCAAAACAATAAATATTGTTCGACGTGAATATATTGAGCAACCAAATCTTTCTGCACAGACTAGTGTCTTACGAAATGCCCGCGACAAGACATATAATATATATTTCGACATATGAGGCAAGATCCCAAGGTGGGCCTCAGAACATGGTGCCATCAAGCACTGGGTAAGACAGCTGCCAGGTCAAAGACTTGTTGGGTGAAAAGGGGAGGACAAAGATGTATATAACCCTCCTTAATAAATTAGTCACTAATCTTGGCATATTTTTCTGAAAAAAGAACTACTCAAAAACTCAAGGACCATTCAAAAACCCTAACTATTTGGGTAAAGTGAACAATTTGCTTGAAGAAACGAGTTAGTTAGGAAAACATCTTGAAAACAATGTTTTCCTAAATTCCCTAACCAGACACTCTTTGTATCAGCCCAACACCAAAACAAAAAAGAGAAATAAATTGTTTGCACAAATGAGAAGATATATAACCCAGAGTTGACATAAGGGCTGACCATACTGGTCCAAGCAGGATATAAGGAAACAACAACTGCCCATGCTAGTAGCTAGACTAAAATTGTGCATATTGACGGATGTGCAGTTTATAAATGCATCCGATGTCCACCTTCCCAGACTTCTGATTTGTGCATCAGACAAGCCAGAACATAATGCCTCTGTCTGATGCAGCTGCTGTACGGAAATTATGATCCTTATAATATTGGGGGATTAAGCCATAACAATGTAGCCCTGCATTGAATTTAAGCATAAAGTAATCACGATTCATAGGCTGTTGATCTGACATACAGAACAGATGTCACGCATATCATTTGACCCTAACTCTAAAACAATAATATCCGGCGAAACCCGGCTAACCACACTAAGGTAACAGGTTGCTGTTGATGCTCATCCACAAAGGTTTTGAGTCGCCTTACAAAAGAGTGTTCCTTTGTTATGGACGCACACACCCTTCACCTTACACGTAATAAAATGACAGTCGAATTAAACAAATGAGCCCGCGGCAGACTACAAATTCAAATCGCTTCTAGGAATGAAATTCAAATGATATACCACACAAAATAACCGTCATTCAAATTTTGGATGTATCAAGGTTAAGAAATATACCAAGTGAAGCGGGGATCAATAAAAATGAGTATTATTTCAAAAATTTACCACACTAGGAAAAAACACAAATATTTCTGTTGTGTCTGCCTTAAAGAGAAGTGGCGTAACACCTCGCGCATCGAGGATTGCAATCTAACTACGCCCATCACCACCGTTGATGGCGAACTATCGCTTGCATTCCCGACACAAAGCATATGCAATACATTATATACAGGTAGTTTACATGCTCTGTGACCTGCACAGGTATTATATCGTATACTATCTTATTTGTAGTAACCGGTAGTTCTAAAAATAAAATTCTGTTAACTGGTCAACTAAAGCATAGGCGGGTAGTGTAGGGTACAAATGTGAGTAAGAATTCACTGATAGCAAAGAAATTCAATGTAGTATAAATGAACGTATATTTTCCAGATGATAAAATTTAACACACGGAGGAAAGACTTACCATACTAATGTTAACTTTAAGCATGTAGCTCCCAATTGATAATAATAATATCTTTATTGTGAACAATTTTACATTTGGTCATAAAAAAGTAGTATTTTATGAAATGTGATATAATATTTGTAAATAAATGAATAATATAATTTCAAGATCCTTCTTGTTGTACATACACATTTACCAAAATAATGTTTTTACTTGAAAGTAAATATGTGAATAGGTTTTTCTGTCTTTCATAAAAAAATCGTTCAAGCATCATATTTCTGACAAGTCGATAAACACGAAATCGTCGTTGATTAAATTGTAATTACATCTTTGGTGTATCCAGTCTTTTGCTGGAGTTGTTTAATGTAGTTGTTAATGCTAAATATTGTATAAATTTCGTCTAGCTTTTCCAAAAACGTATATAACTTGTAGCCTCAGTTTACGTTTTTCTTTTGAAATAATTTACTATCCATAAATTCACATCTTTACTTTACAAAGATTTTTAGGTTGTTATTGATGAAATGTTCTTTTCTTCTAAGAGTTTTATTGCAAAATTGACTGTATTACATTTAAGCATTCACATTGTATATTGTTAGTCAGTTTTAGGTAAGCTTGCTTTGATTATCATGTGGTAGTTCCTTTATGTTCAGAAAGTATTTATGGGCCTGTATTTTTGCACAAAATTGCCATGTTACAAGACTTTTTAATCATTTGAAAAAATGTTTTTAAAATTTATTATTATTGTTTTCAGGCTTCAATATAATAATATATAATTCTCATGTTTCTGATCCATAATATAAAATTGGCTTGATATAAATGTTAAATAATATCATTTTGTGTTCAAAGATACAAATATAATCCTATTCACAATGTGAATTGATTTGACTGCCTTACTTTACTTACTAAGTGTGATATTGCATCATTGAAACTCATATTTGATTTAATAACAATTATAAATATTTGATATTTTGATAATTGACAATATTTAGTCAGTGTATTTAACACTGTTTGGAGACCAGTCTGGGAAGTCAAAATAAGTGCTAGATCATCAGCATTCATAATTGAGTTAACTAGTATTATTTAACAAGGAGGGAGTCTGTCACAAGCCTTGGCAAAAGCTACGAAGAATACATATAATTTTATTTGTTTGATATATTTATGAATCAAAAAATCAATTTACTTGAATTCAATTGCATAAATAGAAAGCTATAGATGTCGTCGAGGGGGCACGTACAATAATTGTGGGGGAGTTATGTGAAGTAGGTTTGTTAGGATTTAGTGGATACAATATGACGTGTTTCATATGGAAATGATCAGAAATGTTGAACATATGATAACTATCCATAAATTGCATGCAAAAACTAGACTTAATATTGTTTGTTCTTTGCCAGACAGCATAAATTTTAAAAATAATTTCTGGTTTATGTACAATTAGAATTATTGTCTATGTCTGTTTTAGAAACTTTGATTGATATGCTCCTTTGAATAAAATTAATCAGTTATTTTACGTTGAATTTGATTTATTTGGAAATAAATAAATGGATTCATGAAAACTGTCCCCATTTCATGCCATAACTTCCGAATCATTTATGCATTATGGGTAAGATTGTAATCGCAATGCATACTGGGATTTGTGTTTTTAAAATATGATTTCTGTCTGCAGCAAATTTTGTTGAATTCGTACATTAAATCGTAAATGGTGTCTATGTTTTTTTATTACAAGACGTCGAATTTCAATCATGCCAAATGGATGATACACGATGGGAAAATATATAGAAGTCCGCCTCCGCAAATAATTACAAGTTTTAATTTGTGTTTGTGATTTTGATTTCATGATGTTTGGT